GGGGGGGGGGGGGGGGGGCCTTTTGGGGGGCGGGGTTATTAGCACGGGCTCTCTTCTGCGCGAGGACCCGCATAGCGAGCACGAGGGTCGAAGTCCTTCGGGCAAAGGTGGAGGCCAAGGCTGTAGACCCAAGGTGAGTGAAATTCCTGAATGAGGTCGACCGCATGCCCCCGCAACAACAGCAGCATTCCCAGTACCAGATGGTGCTGCTGCCACGGCCCTCGCAGCGGCTCTCCCCCCCCAGCTGGACTCGACTATCCTCTCTTGCCAGGCCCTCCGAAGGGTGATGATGGTACGCGTACTTTGCCCTTGACCCCCCACCACACGCTGAATACCCTCCTCCTCCTCCTCCAAAAGACTTCTGAAGCTTCTATCGGGAACAAATTTTCGCTCAAACTTACGTCACATACGAAAGGTCGTGTGGGGTCTAAGGACGGTGGCATGGCACAGCCACCTATGCCACGGTTGAAAAATAGACGGCCTTGTGAAATCCCACCTGTGATGCGCCAAGTGGCGCTAGATTGCGGTGGCTGCGGATGACGACCTTCCCTCGGCGGACAATCTCTGGTTCGGATTCATCCTTTGGGGAACCTGACGCATCAGCAGCGGCAGCTAGTGATGACGCCGGGGAGCCAGCGTTACTGCCCGCAGCAGTGAGCGATTCCGGGGATCCTGCATTGCTACGCGAACCAATGCATGATGCGGGGGAGCCTGCGTCACTGCGTCCAGAACTGTGCGATGAGACCCTGCGATGGGTGCGGACGACGAGCTTCCCGCGGTATTTGACCTCTGGTTCGCTTTCTTCGGGCGGGTCGCCTGTTACATTTATGCCAGCCGCCACCGCAGGTCGGGGGGAGAGGAGAGAGAGACAGAGAGGCGGAGACAGATAGAGAGTCGGATAGACGAACCGAGAGACAAGACAAGGAGGAGATTATTATCATCAGAGGCAACGGCATGGGCGAGAAAGGCAGCACGCACGCATACCATAGTCCCCAAATAGCTTCGGAAACACTTCCGCGCGACTACTGTTGAGGGTTGAACGTTGCAATATACAACAACCCCAAGAGGGGTACTTAGGTTTCACGTGGAGGAGGCTTGGGAAATGTCTGCGGTCGGGCTGAAAGTGACGGGAGAAAATACACATTTTGCCCGTATGCTGTAATCATGTCAGTGCCACACGATGTTAGGTACGACACTACTGCTGTGTGTGTTGGATAGACTACATTGTACTTCATACGTCGTACCCCAAGAGGCGGAGAGGTGGCACCCCCCCGTAAGGTCGATTTTCATCAAAGCTCGATTACGCGACAACCAAGATTGTGCCAACACCAAAACACGGCGGGTTTGGAAACACCTAGTATAGGGATTTCCGTGACAAACTGCAATCGGAATACCGTATATGACGTAAGATACCACACACCCTGTACCGGTTTTGAAAGCTCGAGTACTCCACGACGAAGAGGGTGCGTGAATCCAGCCAGGCGTTGTTGGAAAGCTCTCGACAAGATGATTCCCAAACAACCGTTTTCAGCACCGTCACTCCTTGTGGTATGGAGCGACTGATCCTTGAAGATTGGTCCAGGGGGTGGTATCTTGTGTCATGTCATCTACGGTATTTCCGCACCCCCTTGGTCATGGAGCAATCGAATCGAGCTTTGAATGGCGGTCTAGGGGGGGTGCCATCTCAACGCCTGTTGAGGTACATCGCAATCATCAAACATGGCCGCTGTCGTATTAAACTGCTGTTGTGTAGCAACCAAGCCCGTCCCCAGCGGGAGACACCACGCCAAGACAGCGAAGACGGAGACGGAGACGGAGACAAAACAAGGGTCAGAACCTCAACAAGGAATGTGGAGGTCAACACATCAACACGAGAGGCGGGCATTGTCAGTCTCAAAACTTGATTGCGCCCAAAAAAGCGCGTCTCGTTCAGCGGTACGCCTGCCCAAGGTAGAGCCATGCACTCAACAACACCTTCTGCAACCCGCCCGAGGCCAAGGCTGAACAATTAACACAGGGCGTTTTATCGAAATCAAGGCTAATAAACCTCCTAGCACTGGAAGCCCGAATGGGGACACTTTGGTGACGCACCATGGTCGTCACTATGCTCCGCTGCGTGAAACGTGCGTGGGAAACCTTGGTCTACCATGCCTGTGTGAGGTGGTACGATACTGCCGTGTGATGCCTGTGTGCCTCTCCTGGGCCTCTGACTTGCTATGCACAATCCCCCAAGCCGCGGTTCCCCTTGTTGGTAAAACCGTATGCATTCATATGCATAGCCTGGTATTGGGAAAAAATGCTGACTTGGCTTGAGTAAAGGAAAGTGTACCCGGCGCGTTAGGCGACACGCTCTGTACTGAAGCCAAGTCAGCCTTGGGGCCTCGGGACTGTACAGCGTCTGCCAATGAGCGGACGCGATTTCTTCTGGACCCATTACCTGCAACGAACAGGGTAAGAGGAGGGGGATACAATCCGCAAAAATAATACTCATAAGTATGTTGCAATTTGTTTTGTCAGCCATTGAGGTCAAAACTTCAACACAACCACAAACCCCAAGTTCAATGACGCTGCGCAAGAACAAAAACGTACTTCGCTGCGCCATTCAAACATACATCGCAAAAACTAATTAAGTGTGGGACCTCGCGATGCAAGACTAAGATTCTGCCAGGCCAGAGACATTTATTCCGGGAAGAAACCAACCTTCCCGTAGGTCACGAGCTGGCAATCATCTCCGGGATGAGTCTCGGTGCCATGGTCTAAATTTGTGCGTCCCAATTGCCAAAATGCCTATACGTGCCCTCTTTCTTCTCGGCACTATTCAAAGAGGAGGGAAGCAATGCTTATGCTTACCAGAACCATGCACATATGACAAGGTACCTTCAGGCCTAAGACCATCGTCGCGGAGAACGGCCCACCCTGGGGAATATCGCGCTACTTTTTGTCGCGACAACTAACTGTCGAAGAGGGTCACGGCTCGCGGTTTGACGAGAAGGCTCAGCGGCGGGGCCTTTGGCCTTCGGAGCATTTAGAACAGAATGCAACCAGCAGATCATAGGGATAGCAACCCATCCGTCTACTCACCCACCTGCCCGGCGCTCTATCTGCCGATCTATCCATATTCCTTGCTCTTTGTGGGCACAACGCACGCACACAAGGCCAGTCATCTCGGCGGGTTGCAAAATCGCTCCTGGGCATGAGCTGCACTGTATGTATGTATGTCACCTTTGAAATCGGTCGAATTCAAATCCTGGCTCAGTCTGCCCACTCCCGGCACAAACGGAGGGGCACGTCCGTCGAGGCTACTGCGAGCCTTCGTGTAGAGCTCGTCACACTCGGCCTTCGTCAGCAATCGTGGTGAATCGTCTTGTTCATCCATGCTGCCCCAACCCCTCTGCGAGCCCTGCTCCGCAAGAAGTCGGCAAGTCACACAGAGCAGCAGTAGCCGGAGATGGACTGCTGCAGGGGGGGGGCTGCAGCTACATTTAGCCAACACAAGCATACCCTTTGATAAGAAAGATCTGTTGTAGCGGACCCCTCCCGGACGGCACAGCACCAACATCACTTGAACAACGACAAACGAAGAAGGGCCAGCTCCCCTGACCGAGGATAGAAAGCCATGGACAGCAAGGACAGAGCGGCCACCTTGGTTGTCGGTGCCATTGCCGGAGCTGTGGCCCTCTCGTTGTACAACAAGACTGCTAGGAGCGCGGCCACGAGCTCTGCTGCCTCGCTCAACAGCGCCGGCGCGCCCGCTGCTGCAGCCCGAAAGGTGAGCTATCGATCGATCGTCTTGTGCGTATGCTAGATGAACATGGGGGCAAGGTGTGCATGCCGCCGCATGTACATGCACTATTGCATTGCCTTGATTTGCAGACCGTTGGGCCGCACATGCTCCGATTTGTACGGAGGGGAATCCCTAACTCATCCCTAATCCGGGGCACATACATCATTGCTGCATGCCGTGGTCTACACACAGCAGTACAGCAGGGTGTACACGTACTTTGACGGTTATTCCGGTGCCGAAATTGGTGATTGGAACCGGCTCTTCGAGAGCCTCAAGCTGATCATTTGAATGTGGCACCCTCTTATTTACAATATGTATAGTTTCTGTGGAGCACACACGCGAGCTTGGAAAATCTGTCCGAGGGGTGTGGTGTCTTACGCTCTGTATGCTTACAGCAGTAATAATATCATACCACAGCCGAGATCCCCTTGTGCTTGCAGGATCCCTGGGTCCTGACCACAAGATACCCTTCCGGGCGTAGGCGATTGAGTGTTGTTGCACCATTATGACGTTGTGCTCAAACGGGAAAAGGTGGATTCGGTGTCCTCGTCGGATGATGAAGACGACGATATCGTTCGAGGTGTCCTGCTCCGGCCATACGAGCACGACAAGCGGATGAGGGCGAGGATACGACAGGCCGCGGGCTCATCAAAGGTACGCATATATACCTACCTGTGCCTTTACTTTTCGTAAGCTCAATAAATTACATCACAGCAGTACCGCCGATTCATTCGTTGATTGTATGCATGCTGCTGTAGCAATACAACATCCCACCCACGACCGTAGTCTCGATATTGTATTTTTACTTTGTACAGGGTTTCGCGCACCCACGACAGACTGCTGCTTTGCTATTGCACGCCTGCCTCGTGCCGCACCATACACTCGTTGCCCTTCCTGTTTATTACGGCGGTTGTAGCGGTGCAACTCTGCCGTTTCGAAATTGGCGAGGCACGAAATTTGAAACTTAAGCGTGTACATTATTTTCTTGCGCGGATAGCTGCAGCCAAGCAGGATTGATGAAGGCGCGGACAAGTCCATCGGCGGTACGCAGAGTGCACGCCCACTACTCGCCGTACTTTTCCGGTTTCTTTTCGCGGTTTAAAATCGTTCTTGTGTCGTTTCCGTGATTGCTCTGATAGTCATGATGCCATGATCAATTTGCCCAAACGTTGATGGGTCGGCTTCCGGCCGAAATGGCGATCAACATCAAACGTGTACCGTATCATGCCACTAAAACATCGCAGCCACTGAGGTCGGTAATGATATCATGCATCGCATCCATTTATCTTCATCGCTGACATTCTAACTGCAGTGTCAGCGCAGTTGTACAACACGATTCCACCCTTCACCTCCTGTGGCGTTTTCGCCTGCTGCGCTTTTGCACGGACGTGGCGCTTGAAATGCCGTGCTCACCGTCGTGGAAGGATGACGGCGAGTCCGGTGGTAGGCATGGAAAAGAGTACCCTGTCGACGACGACGACGCGCAACGACTGCAGCGTACCTACAGCATCCGGGAAGAGGTGGTCAGGTACACGACACTACAAAACTATACAATTACAATACAATGCAATATGCGCTTCGTTGCCCTTAGGAGGGGTGATTGCACGTGTTGATCACGAACACGCGGAGAGGCTTGAGAACGTCCAGAGTAGGCGGTTCCTCCGAATGATAGGTTTGACCGCGAGTCAAGTAGTACAACCCTTCCGTCGTTTGCACAACAACAGTCGATCGACCAACCGCAAAGCCAAGCAGCTGAGAAAGTGTAGGGTGCGTAACGACATGTTGTGGTGGCTTCTTGACGATGTTGAGACCCATGCCGTTTATCGATGTCATGGTTGCGGTTGACTTTTCCTCCGTTTGCTACGGCGCCACCCTAACATTATGGTATGTTTCAGGGAGGCAGCGATGGAGCGAAACCGCGTGGTAGTTCGGGTGCCAGCCACTAGCGCCAACATGGGGCCTGGCTTTGACTGCCTCGGTATGGCGCTCAGCATCTGGTCGGAAGTGACGATGGAGCGCAGCGACAAGTGAGCAACCGTTTCATGCAACGGACTCTCACGGCATTCTCATACCTCAAACTGTTGACTCTCAACACGTCTTCTTTCGATATTCAGGCGAATACTGGGCGTGTTACACGGCTGGGTAGTCACTTGCTAGTGCAGTCCATAGGTGACACGATCGGCTGTCATCATCGTACCACACATTGTTAGCTGCGGGCCCACAGGGCGGTGTAGATGGCAAAGCAGGTAGCGTTCGCAATATTGCGTGCGTACGTAGGTTCCATCACTGTGCTGTTGGGAGCTTTGGGAGATGAGATCAGTGGCCGGCTCTCAATCTTTCCGCATCCCAGCGTCTTGAAGCCAAAGTCACTTGATGCACGGTATTACTATGCGGAGACCACCCTCGTATAGGTACAATCTCCCCAACGTCTGTCGAGGACGATTCCCTCTTTTTACAATGGCGTCGACAGAGATGTTAGATTGTCTGCTTTTGGTTGCAAAAGACACGGGTGCAACACCCGCTGCTCACCAAATTTTCTTCCGGAATGCGGGAAAAGAAAATAACGATGCGTGGGGCAGAGAAGGACGCACTGATTATCGAACTCGGAACTTCTGATGACGTGACGGACGCAGCGAACCCGTGGAACACGCACAGAGGGTTGTGAAGAAGTGAATCGCCCCGCTGCAGCCGGTCGGGTTGCGGTTATCCCTTCAAGACTTATCTTGCCTAATCAGCAAGAAGAAATCTCGAAAAAAGGGGGGGTAAGGTGGAGACCACCTTCATATAGGTACAACCTCCCCAACGTCTGCCGAGGACGATTCTCTCTTTGCACAATTTACTACTTTTTTCAATCTCTTGTAGGGAGTGAGTACTGTTGCGGACGACGCAATGCAGTGATGTATGGGTACTCTTACTACTATCAAACTAAGCCAAGACCTATGTGCTGCAAAGCACCTTTTTTTTTGTTCCTAGAGCCACCCCTGAGCAACCGGTGTAGTAGCAGTACCATATGTAATGATCGCAAATGACGTTTTCCCTGGGAACACACAAGACGAAAAATGTTGGACTCCATATACCGGGCGGAGAAGCAAGTGTGTCGAGTCGACACGCCTTATCACATCAAAGTTCATGGAGCGATTTGAGTAATTAGAGTGGTTGTCTTGCTCTGCCAGGTTCGAGATCGTGTTCGAAGGAGCGGGTTTCGAAGAAGTGCCTTTGGACGAAACAAACCTGCTGGTGAGGCAAGCAAACCAAAGAAATCATGGCCCAACGGAAGGGCACTATTTGAGGATGGGAACGAAGAGACTACACAACACCAAACACGGCTGGTAGTACCAAGAGCAATTTCCTCAAGAGCAATTTC